CCGTGTGTTTTTAGGATTGCTTGGTTTGATAACTTGCTTGGTTGGTCTTTTTCTGTGTTTTTGATGGAATTTGATGGTAGTACGTTTCTGTCCCAAGGTGCCTCCAAGGAAAGTCTGGCAGTCGTTCATTTGGTGAAGATTATGTTTGAATTTCTTCGACCTATTGTAATGTCTGCCCTTGGTGTAGGAGTATTGGCATTTTATAGATTGACTAGCGATACTTTGTGTTTGACAGGCTGAGGGGATGAATATGTAAAATTTTTTCCGCATTGATGATATACGTACTGGGTTTGTTTGTTGCATTGGTAACAATATGGATAGCGACTGTTTATACTTGGCACCACATTGTTGTTGTTTTTTTTTTGATCTGCGGAGGGGTTTAATGTTTTCTTTTTATTTATTTTTTCTTTAGAAGGTGCAGATCAAAGAGTTGTTTAAACAAAATGGCGATGTTTACCACCCAAACAAGTGAGCCAGATGTTTCAAAGTTTCCCACCGTTGACACAATTGACGAGTTTTCGAAGGTGTTGACCGATTACGGAACTGCCTTTAGCGATGTTTCATGCTTTACAAAGGAGCTTGTGGCCCCTATTGTGCTACCGGAGGGTAAAACGGTTCTGGACGTGTTCAGGGTTTGCTTTGACGACAACGCCTCTCTCCTGGAGGAGTATCATACGGCGCGAAAGGACACTAACCAAAAGTGGGAACCATGGCGGCTTGCGAAGACGGGCAGCCCTCGCTTTTCTGGTCAAAGATTGTTTACGTGTACGACGATAATTAGGGCGTTGGTTTCCAAGGCGTGTCCATTTACAGAATACCAGCGTTACGCATTTATGAACATTGGGGGCAAGGAGCCAACCTTGGTTGTGCAGCTTTCAGGGCAGGCCGAGGGTGTTATGTTTGCTGACGCGTTCCGTGCGGAGACGTTGCTGATTTTTACTCAGTTAGGTGCAAGCGTTACAATGCGTGCTTTGGGTCACGTCCAGTTCCTTCGGGATGTGTGGATTAAGGGTAAAATTCTGCGTACTTCGCTCAATACGGAAATGCCAGAATGCTATCGGAAATTGGGGTATATGCTGATAGAACGACTTATACAAGGCGGTGGGATATCAGTTATTGAAAGAGTAACAGAGAATTTAAAGGAATCGGCTTCTCTGGGGGCAATATCATTGTCAGCAATGTCCACAGAAAAATGTTCAGTTCGATCTGAGATTGTTTTGTATGGGGGCCGTGTGTTTTTAGGATTGCTTGGTTTGATAACTTGCTTGGTTGGTCTTTTTTCTGTGTTTTTGATGGAATTTGATGGTAGTACGTTTCTGTCCCAAGGTGCCTCCAAGGAAAGTCTGGCAGTCGTTCATTTGGTGAAGATTATGTTTGAATTTCTTCGACCTATTGTAATGTCTGCCCTTGGTGTAGGAGTATTGGCATTTTATAGATTGACTAGCGATACTTTGTGTTTGACAGGCTGAGGGGATGAATATGTAAAATTTTTTCCGCATTGATGATATACGTACTGGGTTTGTTTGTTGCATTGGTAACAATATGGATAGCGACTGTTTA